ACAATGCCAATCTTTTGGAGAAGGTAAGCTAAATCACCTACTTTTTGTCAAAAATTTTGGTAAGGTCGGCAAAGATGGCAGAAAAAAAAACTATACTATTACCAAAATAGAAGGAGCGTTGGTTTCTTTATTTTTTCAAAAGTTTATACCCAACTATCCCAACCATGCACAGTACTTAATTTTGTTGGTGAGTGATAAACTCTGAGCTTGTCGACAGGTAGCGTATAAGAGCTACATCTAAATGACAAGTGCTGTGCCTACCAAGGTACAGTAAGTGATAAACTCTAAAGCTGTTGGCAGGTAGCATATGAGAACCACCTCTAAACGACAACTGCTGTCCTGGGGCCTTCTTTCCCATGTCTTATAGTGTCGTTATAGTCGGTTATGCTTCTTCTCAGTCAAAAGATTTTTCAGAATTTTTGATCCAGGTGATTATTGGAAAGAGTTCAATTAATAGGTTTAAAAATTTTAGCTAAATCATAAACTTTATAAAAAAATCTTTTTTTTTACAAATAATTGCTTTAACAGATTTATTTGTTATAGCTAAAAGATTTTTAATAATAATCTAAATAAAAAATTATAAAATTTATTATTTTAAATATAAATTATAAAAATTTAATTAATAATTTTATTACTTTTTTTTAAACATGTTTCTAATTAATAAACAGATTTTAATATTGTATAAACTGTTGTCTATCTTGTATTTACACTACTGAATAATTCTTTTTGCAAATGAATATTTAATTAAATTCTTTGTTATAAGATTAAATGCATATTGTAAGAGGAGAAATGAACCCTGCTAGTTTTATTTTTAGATTATAGTTTGTAAAATCCTGAATTATTGATACAGATAGTACAAATTGTTAAGAATTCTGGTTATCTAATAGATATTAGGAATTCCACTAGATAATGAAAATAAATTTTTATTTTTGTTATCTATTAGATAGTACAAATAACTTAGCATTCAAAAAGTTCTTCTATATATAAAGACAATTATATAAGGAGTGCTTTTTCTTTCAATAAAAAAACAACTCTACAGAGTTTTAAAACTCAAAAACATAATAACTTTGAAGCTCTAATAGTAGAAATTACTTATATTTTCCCTTGTTTATACTAAAAATATTTCAAAAACTTTATCTTTCTGTTTTAGAATTATTGATAAACTTTGTAATTTGTTATAGTTCTAATTAAATTTGACCTTTGAAATTTGAGTAGAAGTGTCAACCCTGAGTTCTCTGTTTAATAAAAAAACCTTAGCTTTCTTGATCTATTAGAAAAAGTAAAGAAAAAATTGATTATAATTGAAACCCTTAAGCATACACTTATATTATCTGTGACATATTGTTATTACTAATTAGTATAACAATCGATCAATTAATTAAATTAATCTTCATGATATAAGAATCTCATAATGTAAATATCAGAATAGTAAATTAAGCCTCGGATTTATCAATTTCTTACTTATGACGTAAGATTAGATTAAACTACTAATCACTACAGTAAATATCATACGTGATAATTGTTAAGAATCTTAATGATTGTATTGAAGCTTGAAATCTACCAAATCTTAGCTTAAAGAAAAGAACCATAATTATCTTTTAGCTTAAAAATATTAATCAATACTGAGAGTATAATTTTGAAGTATACTTAACTTAACTGCTAAATATACTGTAGCCAGACTTGAAAAGACTTTGAAACTTGGTCCAAGTCTCTTCTTATCTCTTTCTGCCTGACAATTCAAAGTCTTTAGAGTCTTTGAATCATAGATTAGATATTGTAGTATTTATATTTAGCTAGTTTTAGTTTTTAAATATATAACTTACACTTTTTCAATATACAATATATCTAATACTTAATATATGTGAATATTTTTAAGAAATTTGTTTTCTTGCTAAATTAATATTTGATTCTACAGTGGGTTGGAATAGGACCCCGAAGAACTCTGATACAACTCATATGTTACCAAAAAGGAAATTTTGCATAGAAAATCATCAAATATTGCTTTTTTATATAGTAAATTTTTTAAATTTTACTCTATTTTATATATCTATTTGGCCAAATTTATATAAATTTTATACAAACTTAAATCTAAGTTATATCAGAGTTCTTCAGGGTCCTGTTAGGATCCTGTAGCCTAGTGGTCTAGGCACCCAACCCTTCATGAGCAGGTTTTGGGTTCAAGTCCTAGTGGGTACATTTACCTACAAATATTTGGAAGTATCTGCTATGGAAAGTCCAAGTGAATACAGATCTGAATTAAGAATTTCCGGAAGGAGGTCCATTGTGGAGTAGTTGGCACTACATGTAACAGTGGTCATTACAGAAGGTTCTATTGCACAAAGGTTGTGTATGTAAATTTGCAATTGGCAAAATAGTACTAACAACCCCTAAGGCGGCATTGGGGATTTTGTTTGGAAGGATGACTAGGCAGTAACCAGAATTAGAAGTGGTGAAAAATGTGGTGAATACAAAGGGACCTGTGGTAAAGAATTGGCCTTACCAGATTTAGAACACCTCTGGCATATACGGAACTCACTAACCAATAAAAAGTTGAAGTATAGAGGTGTGTACGTGTTGATAGACCTAACTGGCTTTGGTTGTACCCATATGGGAGTTTTTGAATATTAAGAGGACTCGGGACCACCAATACAGGTATAACTAGTATAAGTGAATATAGCAGTAACTGAGGGCTACAATTGCTGAGAATCACTATAAATAGAAACAATAACACACCTGTTAAAAACCCCTAGACCTTATAATCTCATTCAACTATATTGAGTACTGGAAGCATTTGTGAAACATGTCTGGGCAAGCCTTGTTATTCACATATTACCAAATTCGAAATGTTAAGATCTTAGTCTCAAAGTGCAGGAAACCAGCTAGTTATGGCAGTATATAGGCTTGAGATATTTACCTAATTGGATAGAAACAGCTACATGGCTTGAGATACGAACTCTTAAAAGTACACTAGTTGGGACCAGGCACACCAAACTGGAAGCAATAAGCACCTATCTGGTACACACCAATTTGGGAGTTAAGATATTAAATATGTGGGTAAAGTGGCAAACATGTAAATACTAATTGGCAGTTGGGGAGAGATATATAAATCCAGGTCAATTACATATATAGTAGTGGTGACGGCTCTGGTAGGTTTTAGCTATAGATAAATGGTCTTAAATCTAAAGTTTTAGTTCTAGTTCTAATATATAATATATAAGTATTTTAGTACTACTATATGTCAACTTGCTTAAATATTAATAAAGTCTAGGACAGGTGTTATACCCTAATATTAAAAATATATATATATATTTAATTCTACATCTGTTACTATATCAATAAACTTTTCAACTTCAATATTAATAAGAACTTTTTGAATTTTGTTAGTTAAAAAATTTGCAATATAGTTTGTATCTAAAACATTTAAAAATTTTTAAAGAATTTCTTTATAATTATTTAAACAAATAATAAAATTTTATAATAATTTGCCTGTTATACTAGTCTATTTATTTAAAGCTAAAAATAAATTAGTAAAAATATTTTGGTTTTACTAGTAACTTATTTAAATATAAAAATAACTAATTTATAAATTAAATTAAAAAAATAGATAATTTTAATGCTCACTGAAGGTAAAATTTACCAGGGTGCTGTATCTCAAAAACATACTAAATAAATGAGATCAGGTACTCTAAGTAAAAATATTCAGAACTCCTGAAAATCTTATAAGAACTAAAATTGAAATCTTTTATTAGCTCTATGTTATTTTATATAAAAAAAATTTCTAATACTCTAACTCTAACTCTAACCTAACCCTAACAATTCTTAGGCTAATAAATTTCATCTCTGGTTAATTCTAAATTAATTTTAAAAAAAATATATAAATAAAATTAAATATTTAATGTTAAATTTTTTGAATTTTTTAATAATTTATATAAATTTGTATCAACTCTTATTATTTCATTTATTAATAAATTTTCTGCAATAAATTTTCTACTAGGTGGTGTATAAGCAGGACAATGTTGTTTAAAAAATAGATACTCAATAAGTCTCCAAGCCAATTTACAACATACAAATGCTTTAATAAGTGCTCTATTTATTGATTCAATACATTTTTCTAGTATAGCTATATTTTTCAAAAATTCATCTAAACTTATTTGTTTATTTAAATACTTAGTTTCACTATTTTTTTATGAAAATCAACAATATATATAACTGCTTCTTTTACTTCTTTAGAAGCAAGTTTATATTTACTAATAATATGTTTCTATTATTGATAGTTTTCTAGATGAAAATAATTTTTCATATGTTTTACAAATTGCTTTATATGGTCTGAATTATTCAGTTTTTTGCCTCTATTATAAAATTTTCAAATTGGCTTTAATGGATAACTACTAATAGTTTTTTCATCAATATGTTTAGCTTTTTTGAATTCTGATACATTAAAAAAATAAAATATTAAAAAATTTAAGAATAAAAAATATTTATAAGTATTATTATAAAGATATTACTAATTTAACACTATATATATATTTATATATATATTTATTTATTTATATTATTATATAATATGCAGGCGATCAATATTACATAATATATCGAATACTATTTACATATTAAAATTTTCAATTTATGATTACAAGTGTATTTAATACTGTTTATGTAATCATGTGATGTAAAGGATAAATACCATTAATTTTACAAGCGATGAACCATTTTTCTTCTTTCTTTTCCCATTACTAACATTAATTTTACAAGATCGACATATCATCGGAGGAGGTAAATAGTTATATAAGGTCAATTAGTATTGTTAATAAAGCATTCCGTTAACTTCATTTAAATAAAGATACTTTAAAGTATACTATTTAAATGGAGTTAATGGAATGCTCTATTAACAACTTTAAAATCAATACAAATAGTATGTAATTTAAAGTGGTTTATTTCTTTAGAACTCTACAGAACATTTTATAGAACCAAGAGCATTTTTTGAATCAAATTCTTATCATATGACCAGTAATCAACTCGTATTCAATGTGTTATATTTTTCAACATATGCAGGCCAACTTTTACATAATAATAGCTTAGCTAACTTGCAATTAAATAATCCAGATACTACTTATAGCGATATTTATAGTGCTAATGATTTTTTTGGTACTACTGGAACTAAAATTTTCAATAGTTATACTTATCTAAATAGCATATATTCATCTTTAGGCATAAAAGAAATACATAGTAATAGGCTAGAAGAGCTGAAAAATATATTAGAGAAATATTATAAAAATGATGAATCAGAGAAGGCTCTAGAAAATAAATCAAGAGAAGCTCAAAAAAATAAATCAGAAGAAGCTTGGGAAAATAAATTAGAGAAAGCTTGAGAAAGTGAATTAGAGGAAGCTCAGAAAAGTGAATTAAAGGAATGAGAAGGTGAATTAGAGAAAAAAGCTCAGAAAAGTAAAATAAAGGAAGCTCGGGAAAGTGAATTAAAAAATAGACTATTATTGGAATTAACTCTGGATTTTCCATTTCAAAGTTGGAAACATTTCAAAAAGTAGATTGATTAGTTTGCAAAGCTAAAAGAATTTGGTTATAGAGTTTGAACTAGTGGATAGAAAATGGTATACTTAGAAGAGTAATGTATATGTATGCCAATTCTGGTACCAATAATTCAAAAATAACATCAAATCCTACTAAACAGCATAAAGCTACATCTTAATAGACTAAGTGTTTTTGGAGACTAAATGTTACTCAATTTAAGAGGTTGAAAATAGTGAGAACTAATTCTTATAAAGATCAACATAATTATCTTTTTACTTCAATCATTAGTAAAATTAGTTTATGATTTTGTAAGTTAACATCCAAAATGTTGTTAGACATTAAGAAATATACAATTTAAGGTCGAATGGATTCTGAAACAATATATTTATTACTTTGGCATGATTACTCTAATCATTTTTTAAACAAGTATGATTTGTATAATGCAGTGTATAAATTTAGACTAAAGAATAATTCATGTAACTTAGATACTTCTTTAATATTACAAACTTTATTAAATTAAAAAGATAAGAATCTATTATGGGTTATCAAACCATGGGCTAGAAACTGTATCAAGAAAATTCATTTTTTTAATTTGAATATCACCTAAACAAAAATATCTTTACAAAATATTTCATAATGTTGTAATAATAGACACCACTGTAATACAAACTGTTTTCAAATGATGCTTTATATTATTAATATAATTAATAATTATTATAAAACCCAGATTGTAGCTAGCTGCATTATTGAAGATGAAACATTGGATATGTTTAACTAGATATTTGAAATATTAGTCGAAAAAACTAGTATTACACTTGTAGTTATATTTACTGACAGTGATTCTGCAATAATAAATGCTATTAAACAAGCATTTCCTACCACTAAACATATACTTTGTATATTTCATATTGATATGAATTTACAAAAAAAGTTAAGAAATAAATTAGAAGCACAATTTAACCAGTTTCGATCAGATTTTTATACCTGTTGAAATAGTTTAGAATCTCTTGTAGTATAGGTTATACCTTCATTTTTCTGGTGGATGTAGAGAATAAAGGCATTGTGACTTAAGTCACAATACCTATATTCTCCACATTCACCGGAAAAAATGAAGGTATAACCTATACTGCAAGAGATCCATAGTTTATATGAGGAACTCTTTGAAAGTTGTTGGGCAAAATTTGTAGAAAATTATTTGACAGCTACAAATTATTTATATATGTCAGTAAAGAATTATAAGCTATTTCTTGGAAATGCAGACAATTCATTGGAAGTGTATAAAGCACACAGAGAGTAGAGTGCATATTTATCAAAAGGTTGATTGTGCAATATCTTTATATGATTTATTAATTAGCTTGAATAATCATATTGACAACAAAGAGAATTTAATGAATTTTGAAATTTAGTATAATACTCTTTCATTTATTGGTTTACCAATATTGAATAGTCATTTTTTTAGTCAGATTGACAAAATATTAAAAAGTTTCTTATTTCTATTATGCTTAGAAAATGAAAAGACCAAATGAATACAAGTTTGTGTTATAATATTATACAAATTCAAGAATGATGTACAATAGTTGAAGCAGATGTAGATCATAAAATTGAATTATGAATTAGAGAACAAGACTATAATACAAGACAAAATTTTGTTCACGTCTTTGATACAAAATATACTATATAAAATAATCATTCAGGTGTGGCATATACTTATATACTTGTCTTCTTTTAATAAACAAAGATCTAATCTGCTATTATTTTTCAGGTTGGTATATATACTACAACAGACAAACTCATTAATAAGTTACCAATAATTCCTATTTCAATATCTAATAAACAACAAGAATCTGAAATATAAAATGAGTCTAGAGTCGATTCAGATTTAATATTTAATTATCTTTTTTCAATTCAGTCTAATACAGACAAATCTGAATATTTATCAAAGTTGAACAAAGTAATCTACACTAAGCTATTTGGCTTATCAAAAAAAGTAATTGACCATGCTATTAATGCTAGTTGACATAGTGATTTGACAAGTGTTTTTAAAACATTTATGTATGATACTCAAAATCAAATACAAGATGATGATTATAATACAGATAATGATTATGATACAGATAATGCAGATATTCATAATCCTAGCACAAAAAAACATAAAGAGCATCCTTTTAAAAGACTTAAGTCTTGTGTTGAAATATTATATAATAAGTAATGTACATTAAAAGATAATACAAAACTTAATGTAATAGATAGAGTAAAGGATGTAAAAGATAACAAAGGCTAAAAATGTAGTAAATGTAAACAATTAGAGCATTATGCCAAAACTTGTACGGTTTCAGATTAGATATAAAATACATCAATTAGATATAAAATATATAAGATACATAGAATAGAATAGAGTATATATAACAAAAAATATGTAATATGTATTGATATACCAATTTATATTTATATCTAAGTGTTGCTATGTTGTTAATAAAAATTTAAAAGTGTTCTTGATATTAGGATTATAGTGAATACTAATAGTGTTTTCTTTCATATTAGAGTTAGATAGGTAGATTATAAAGAAGATCTAAAGAATTTTTTTACAGATAATAGCTACTATACTGTATTTGTATATACTTAAATAAGTAGTTAAACTATATATTATATATATAGTAAGTAATTAATTTTTTGTTACTAATATTTATGATTAGAATGTACTAATATACAAAAAATATATTTAAGTAGATAGTTAGGATTTAATTATACTTTGTTTTGTCTGTTTTGTTATTATTTTTTTTGTGGTTATCAAGCTTTTTAGTATTGGCCAATGCTCTAGTTATAATGCTTTTGGATATAGTTATAATCTTGAAATATTGATCATTATAACTTATGATTAATAATAGACTATAATAGTTACAATTATTAAAGATCATTGATGAAGCATGAAAGTGGTTTATTAATAACCAAATTGTTAACTAATACAAGTATGAAAGTGGTTTATTAATATATACAATAGTCAAATCTTTGACTAATACTGGTTTTTTGAAGCACAAAAGTGGTTTATTACTAAAATACAATATCCAAATTATTGACTATGCATGAAGTAGCTTATTAATAAATAAATACAATAGCTATATCTATAATTACATAATATATATATATGATAGTATATAATATATATTAATATATTATCTGTTATATGATTTGTCGATCCATGTTTATATATATAAAAATCATGTGCCTTGCTGATCTGTGTTTATACACATAGTGTTCAAATAGAAATTGCCTATATAGTTTATAGTTTAAATATTTTTTTATTAAAATTTTAATTTAAATTTTAAATTCTAAACTTTTAAAATTTATTTAAAATTATTGTTCTATTTATATTATATAATATTCAATTATATAATTTATACAATGCCAAGTTAAGAAGTTATATAAATCTAAATCTAGAACTCTGGATATCTCTTATATAGTCATAACTGGATTTTTGCTAATTTGCTAAAAACTAAAAATTTATATTTTTTAAATATTTTGAGATTCAGTAATTAGAATTGAATAAACTTTTTTTAAAAAAATATGTTTAAAGGGCTTTTATTTAAAAAAGTTCATTCAAATTGGACTACTAGTTGCTAAGATATTTACAAAAATATGTTTTTTTTTGCTTTACAAATTTACAAAGATTTTGCTGAAACTTTTAGATATAACCTATATTAGAGATGTCTGGGTCCTCTAAATCTAATTCCATGCTATAGTTTATATGTTACAAAGTTTGTGTTTTTGCTTTAAATAAATTTTGTTAAAATTTGATTATAAATTCATATCTAATTTTAATTTAAAATTTGATCTGGATAAATTTGTTAAAATTTAATGATTAAATTTAGATTGAATTTATATAAAATTTATTTAATAGATTTTGTTAAAATTTAATTATTAAATTTATAGTTAATTTTAGATTAAATTTATTTAAATTTCACCTGAACAAATTTTATTAAAATTTGATAATCAAATTTATAGCTAATTTTAGTATGTGAAAAAAAAGGGCTTACCTGAATACATACAAATAAGAAAACTGATTGTATCATTGAATGTATTCCTGGTGCTAAAGTTGTAATAGTGTTAAAGTGGTACAGAAATTTTATATATCTTCTAATGTTCTTGGAATGCCTTCGAAGTGTGGCTTCGAATAAAGGAATAGAAAATGTTACACGATTCAATCTGGTTTTGGTGTATCGTCGTTTGTATATATAAATATACATATATAGTTTATTATTTTAAATATACAGATAAAATTTTATTATATAAAAATTTTTAATATAATTTAATTTAAACTTTATTTTAATAAATTCTAATTGCTTAATAAACTTATAAAACCCAATTTTAAGAACTATCTGATTAAAATTCAATAAAATTTTTTTCATAACCATTATACTCATGTATATTAATTTTAAAATTGTATCTTTAAAATGATTAAGATATTAGTCTAAGGGCAAAACTTTTCAATTATCCCACGTATTTAGTAAGAATTAACCAACTAAAATTTGGGTCTAGTTACAATATGTCGAATGCAAAACTTTTTGTCGCATTCTAACATAAATAAACATGTAAATGTAAAAATGTTTATGTTTGTCTATTTATTGTTAATTGTTAATTCCAATCATAATCAGTACAAAAAAAGCTTTACATCCCAGTTAGAATTATTACAAGATGATTTGAATTTATAAAAGGGTTTTTAGACACAAAAAACGAGTAACGGTATGATATCAGATATTAAATTATTAAAGGTAACCGAGTGTGACACAGAATAATGCTATAATGAGTTTGACAGTGTACTAGAATGGTTATATGCGATAATACATCGCAGGCGTTGTTGCATTAGGATGGACAAATGGCAGGAACAACAAGATCTATTTAAGTACGTATGTACGTACGTATACAACTGATTGACGATCTTTAATTTACTAGTTAAAAATTATATGCAGTCATTGTGCATCTGAGCAATTTTATTTGGAAAGTGATGATTTCGCCTACATAATAATTCAATCAAGAGCATTGTTAGCCATACTAAGGCAGTTGAAGTAGGTTTTGATTCTTTTTCTTTAATATATTGCCTAAAAAGAAAAGTTGGTTTGCTAATAAATCGATTTATAAAGTACAGATTTTTACTATACGTATTACATGATTATCTGTCAATCTTCATCTTTTAATGCGCAAAATTAAATGATGCTTGATCATAAAGAGAATTACAATCATTCATTCAATAATTTAAAATTTTTTTTTTCAATTTGTTGAAGATTTAACACAGATATATTCTATATAATCAATCTCCGTACTGTACCATTCAGTATTAAAACATGTTACAACCTCCGGCAGATTGTCTTGATGAAATATTACAATATTTGCACGATGATGCCGGATCATTATATTCATGTTTATTGGTGAATAGGCTTTGGTGTGAAAGAGTTGTTCCGATACTGTGGTGCAATCCATGGCAAAATAGGCAACTTCTTATAGACCGTACTCCTTGGCCAGCTATTGTACGAACCTTGTTATCATGTCTTACAGAAGAATCAAACCGAATTTTAATGAAAAACGGTATAGAGATATCACAGCAAATATCACGGCCTCCCTTATTTAATTATATCAAATATTGTCAATACCTATCACCTACAGTAATCGATTGTATAAAAAGAGAGTTGGTCAGCGATGATAACAATACTGGCCTACCTAAAGCATACAGAGAAACTCTCGTAGAACAAGAATTCTACAAGTTGTTTATGGCTAAAACTTGTCTCAAACAATTAGTACTACCAAGAATTCCATTATCCTATTGCCCAGGCGCTGAGAACTGCCTTGAGAAACTTCGTGAGCTGAAATGTCACACCGATAGATCCCCTGAGTTATTTTATGGATTGGCTCAAATATCTAGAAATCTTCTCAGAATTAGTATTTATCCTTGTGATCGGGACAATGAAGGCTTAATCGCTTTGATCAAATTACAAAAGGGATTAAAATCATTGGTGATGGGATCTTCGGAGGATCATGTTAGTTCTTGTCCAAGGATGGGGCAGGCATTGTTGACTCAAGCGCATTCTTTAACACATATCAAATTTCGACAAAGCATATGCATTGCGCCTACTGTTCTTTCAACATTTGTCAATTTAAGAGTTCTTCAAATTGATATATCAACTGAAATTATTAACAAAGAACAATTGACTTTCATTAGCATACCAAAACTTGAGATCCTTGATATTTTTCGTGATGAAACAACACCATTCAGCATTTATATAAGCTTTATTAAAAATATACCCCCAAAATTTCAAAGAATATACTTGGGTTTAATCAGTTCACCATCATGTTCAGCTGAGATAAGAAGATACATTAAAGTATTGTCTTTATCACATGCAACACTTAAATTTATTACGCTTTGGTGGGATGAAGATTGCATAGAAGATCTTTATGGATTAATAAATTCCTGCAATCAATTGGAAGCAATACGAATCTGTAGTCCAAGAGATGAAATACATGTATTTAAAGAAATATACAATGACGAGCAATCGATCAAAGAAATGGATGATACATTATTGTTAAGAGGAAATCAGATATTCGAATTATTGAAAACGCTGCATCAAAGAATTTAAATATATTGGGAGTCACGAAATTTTTTAAATCTTTTGGGAGGTAAGAAAAAATTTTCAATGTATTTGCCCTACGAGAGTAAATTGGTATTAAAGTGTGATATGGTTGTCCGTAGATATCATGAGAAAGGCATTTTAAAATATTTTCAATATATAGATGCTTTGAATATCGTTTTTCTTTAAGGGATTTGTGGATTTTTTTAGTTTATCAACTTGTCTTTATTACTTTAATAATAATTATAATGGTTATTTTTTTCAAATATATATACATAGCAAATATCAATCTTATTCATAAATCTAGAATATTTTCTTTCATTACGCAAACATTACAGTAATAATATCATTTTCACAAATAAACTCATTCATGCATATATGCATTATATTTGTCAAATGTTGGGCGTTCCAAAAATCAACATCTATCTATCATGTAAAAAATATCACTTGGTTGGTCTGTTTTAAATGATTAGATTTAAAAACTTAAGCTCAAAATCACCCAAAACCGATGGCCATTCTGGTGGCTAATTGTTACCATGATAAAAATTGAAGCTTATATTTGTTTCATCATTTTAATCTGATAACCCGTCATTTCGGATAGCTAATAGTTAAAACAAAAAATTTAAATAGCGCATCGGCGCATTTATGCTTTCTATCTTTATTATTTTCAGATTTGGTTGTCAGGTTAATGTTAGGTTTTAGGGCTAGTAAATTAATAGATTTATACCAAGATTTATCTTTGATGGTTTCTTAAGCAAAATTTTGACTTGTATATAATGTTTTTAACTAGTATTACTAAAAAAATTTTGTTTACGTTTTAATTTTATAAAAAAATTACTAAAAAGGAACAAAATAAAAATAATAATAATAATAAGAAATAAATAAATAATTCATAATTTTTAGTTTAAAATTAATGTTATAATTAATATTATTATTTGTAAATATATATACTGAATTATTAAACTTTGTTTATACGCTTAAAAATTTTGATTTTAATAAATTAATATTTAAAAAAAAAATCAATTTTAAGCTTTCTTTAAATATTATTTTATTAAATAATTTTAAAATTTAGTAAGATACAAGTTATAAAATCAAAAAGCTCAACAAAAATGATATTATAGCATATTATATAAATGTCTTTAAAGATAACTAGGTGGATTATACTTTAATTTTGCATTAATAATATAAAATATAAAAGTATATAAAAAATATATTTAAAAAACAAATATAAACAATAAAGTTGTAGCATAATTGCTAAAAAAAAAAGAATTTTTAAAAAAAATATTAATTTATTTAATTTTATTAATAAAAGTTTTAACAAAGTAATATAATAGTTAGAGTATTTATTTACACTATATGTAATAGATTTAGAGTTTAATTTTTCAAGATAAAAAATACTTGATTTTTTATTTATATTATATTTTATTGATTAGTCAAAATATAATATCTGTGTAATATTATATAAAATATAAAGAAATACAGTATAAGCTAATACTAGAGTTAATACAAATTTATAATAAGTTTATTGAGTATATTAATTTAAAAAACTAGCTATATATTCTTTAAACAAATATTTATCTAATTTAGATTAAAGAAACTTGTAAATAAGATACTAAAATAAATACTAAGAATATACTATAAAATAGATTTTAGAATTTGAGTAACTTTATAAAAGCCAGATAACTATAATAATTTAATAGTGCACTCTAATTGCAAGTATTAGTATATTGCTATAACATACAAAAAACTAACCTACAATGTAAAAAATATTGTATACTAGTAGACTAGCATTAAACTAAACATATATAAAATAATATTATTAAAGCAATTAATTAAAGAGTTTAAATAGACAATTTTCTAGTTAGACTATAGATATAGCAACTAGTAGTGTTGTATTAAAACAAAGTCACAAATAATAAATAGTCTGAAACATGTTTGCTAAAATAAATACCCCTTAGCATAAATATATATAGTAGCGCTGAAATTTTAATAATTAGCGCTGAATTTAAAATTTTAGTATTGAATTTTAAAATTTAGTGCTGAATTTTTTAAAATTTATATAATTTTTAATAGTGCTGAAATTTTTAAAAGAGATTGAATAAAAAAAAAAAAAGAGCTTTTTCCGATATTTTTTGGGTCTTAAATAATATTATTATAAAAAGTTTTTTTTAATTGCTTATTTTTTTAAAAAGCTATTAAACTTTTATTGCAAGCAATTATTTTTTGATGTCCTGCACCATATTTCCTTTTTTAGTTTTCAGAGTAAAAGATCCGGGTGCGTACTACGTATGCACGGTTTATAATATGATCGATTATATGGGCTAGGTGCTGGAAAAAGGAACGAAGTTGACAAAACAAAAGATCTTCTAAATCTTATAATAGATTATAAGAAATACAAACTTTAAAGAGCTATACTGCAAAATTTTATTAACACAACTACTTTTGTGTTTTAAGTGAAAAAAGATTCTAATCTTATTCTAAATTAATTTATGTAAAAAAATTTGGTTTGAAAAAATTGTCATTTCGTTCCTTTTTCCAGCACCTAGCCCATATAGTACCTCTGTAGTATTGTACACGTTTCTATTACAGTACCTCCTTAGTATAGTACCCAGGTATAATTAAATATTTTCTTATGCCCCGGGTATTTTACTCCACAAAATACGGTAATTCGAATAGTTTATTTAAATATGCCAATCAATAAAGATTCTTACACAGGCAAATCGTTCATATAGGCGTTCAATATGCCGGGTCCCTACACACAGTCCCTAATTTAAAAGTTATCTTCTATATATAAAGATCATCGTAATCTCTATATAAAAACAGGGTGACTTTGAACCCGGTATCGATTTACCTATAGAGCTAACGGCATTCTGATAATTTTGAACGCCTATATGAACCATTTTATCTTAAAAGTCTCCTATTTGCACCAAACATCTGTTTGAAATCCGGGTTACATGATGCTGATTGGTGCCCTATTTGCTTTCATTCGACTTGTTGGTTTATATAAATAATACCAATCAGTGAAAGATCTTATAAATTAATATAGATGAATGAAACCAAAAGATATAGTATGATGGTAAATGCTATAAACATACTTATCAGGTACATGTTGTGCCTCAGAATAATGCTTGCCTTGGATCGTATTTGATGCACTTCAGATACTGATTGGCCAACATTAGCTGATCTGGCCTAAATTGCTAATTTGGGTCAGCTACAATCTGTAACAAGAATTGGTCTAAGGCACTACATTAATAAATGATTTCTATACTTGCCAAATAAATATGTGAATGAAATAATTAAATAAAATAGCTAATTAAGAGTGTTTCATCAGCTCATTGGCTCTACCAATTATAATTGTTAAATATCCAAGCTGCCTCAATGTGATCGACTAATGATCAAAATCGTGCACAAACAATTGAGGTAGTCCTTACGACAGTTTTGATGAAAATTCATAGTGCGAAATGTGAATATTAAATTTTAGTCAGTTAGCATGTACTTGAGAGCACCGTAGTGTGTAAATGCTATGAAATGCTTAGATACACGATTGATAAAAGATTCTTTATATTGACTAAATAAATTAATGCAATATTAACTACAATAAATAAGAATAATTTACAAATAAACTAACCAAATGAAATGAAATTAAATAGTATGTATAATGTGATTGTAATTGCTATAAAAACTTTTGCACTCGCAGGCGAAATTAACGCGATAGTGTGGTAATAAATTTTATAATTTGAATAGCTTATTTACCAAATAAATCAATTCGAATAAATAAGAAATATAATGTTATAAATTTGATTAGCTTTTATTTGTAAAACCAAAAACCAATTAATGACTAAAATGAATAAAATTATCTGTACGTCTGAATCGCATGTGATAATCATGCGTTTTGATTGGTTACTTACCCACTGCGGCTTAAAAAAAATTTGCACTCAGAAACCAATTTATTTTATTTGCGTCGCCTAATCTTTATTAGTATTATTCAAAATTCTATTTATTATCTGAGTAGCAATTCACTTTTATTCAACCTAACTATTATACTATTTTGCCAAGACTTTAAATTAATAATACCGTGTTTTCGCGTAATAACGCTCATCTGCGCGTTATTTCAAGTACGTGCATGAGACAAACAAAATTTAAGTACCGGTACTTGTATAAAAGGTAAACAAGCAAAAATGCTTCGAAACTAGATTTGTGCTTCCTTCGAGCTTTACCAAAGTTGTTCTTCAGAACAACTTTTGTCAAAGCTCGAAGGTTTACTTAGTACTAAATCTAGAATATTTTTTTAAATCTTACTATAAAATAAACATCCCTTACTATGGGGTGAGCGCTATTTTGGGATGGGACGCGCATGGGCGTTATTTTGAAACTATAGAGGCGCGAATTTCGAAATAGCATTATTACGTGAAAATACGGTATCAGGTATGTAATAACAGATCTAACTATTTTATTTACGTGCAATTTTTATAATATCCAATTTTATAGTTTTTATTGTAATATATAAAAATTTCTCTTACTTCTATATTGAGCTTTGCTTTTAGATATTTATTTATTCAAAAATAGGTATTACTTTAATTTTTGTTATTCACCGTCTCATTATGATCGCATGACGAGAATTTACGTGTTATTAATCACAATTTTTATACATATTTATTTATTTATTTATTTTCTTATTAGTTATTTCCCCGGGCTTATTAGTTATCACTCTGGGTTTTTTATTTTTTATCGCCCAAAAGTTTTAAACCTTAAAAAAGACAAAGAAATGTGATAGAAATGATTAACACGAATCCCCGTTATGCCGTCATATGAAACGATAAATAACCACCGTGTCGAGGAAATGATTGAAATATTTCTCCAGCGGAACATGTATGGAGCACAAAGTGCCTCACATATGCCACTGGGTAAATTCATTATTCCTGCCGTGAATAAATAGTACTCATTAATTGTCATATTTATTTATTATAAACTAACTATTATTAAGTTTTTTGTTTTGCTACAAGATGTAA